GGTCACAACGGCCTGCCAGAATAAAGCCCCTGGAGCGGACACAATTTCTGTTCGTTTTCTTAGGACAGCCTGGCCGTCAATTGGACAAGCAGTGAGAGTACTCTTTAAGGGCTCACATCGACTGAACCACTTCCCGAAGGTATTCAAGCTAGCCGAAGTAATTCTCCTCCCCAAGCCTGGCCGTAATCTCAGCACAGCTAAAGGATGGAGGCCTATTGCACTACTCTCCTGTCTGGGCAAAGGCTTTGAGAGACTAGTCGCAAGGCGTATGGTTTACACCGCCATTTCGCAAAAGGCTGTGCCGCAGCAGCTTTTTGGAGCACTGTCCGGCAGATCTGCTAATGACCTTGTCTCATGCGTTATCCACGATGTGTAACATGCAATGAAAAGGCAGAAGAAAGCAGTCCTTGTCACTCTGGACGTACAGGAGGCATTCGACGCTGTACTACACGGAAGGCTGCTGCAGAGGATGAACAAAGCTGGGTGGCCGAAATCAGCCATCACTTGGATAAAGTCTTACCTGACAGAACGATCCGCCCGCGTCAGACACGAGGACGGAGTAACAGACCCAATTCACCTCGAATGCGGGCTGCCACAAGGATCGTCCCTATCCCCAATTCTCTTCCTCCTCTATATGGCCGAAGTCGTGGGGGGCAGTAGTTGGAGATTTGGCTATGCAGATGATGTTGCTATCCCCGGCATAGGTTCGACGCCAACCGAAGCTGCAGTAGCCGACCAGAGAGAAGTCGACGGAGTCCTCGGGTGGGCTGCTGAAAATGCTGTCTCTTTCGACCCAGATAAGGCCGAAGCAGTCTATTTCCTCGGCCCTAGATCCAGGGGATACGAACTTCCGACTATAAGGGTAGGCCCTCACGATGTTCAAGCATTCGACAACATCCGATGGCTCGGAGTTTCCTTGGACCGTAGCCTGACTTTCGAAAGCCATGTAGCAAAGTGGACCAGCAAAGCTATGCGGCTAGTGCAACACTTCCGGCGACTCACTCAGTGTACCCAGGGACCAAGACCCGACTTACTAGCCACAGTCATCCGCACGGTAGTTCTGCCAATTGCGATGCACGCAGCGGAAACCTGGTACCCGGGGCTAATCAGGGAAACCTATCGGGGCGTCGCGCGCAACTCTTGCAAGAGACAGTGCAAAGTAATCGACCAAACTTCTGCCTTCGGAATCCGCGTGGCTCTACCAACCTGGCGCACGATGCTTATTATAGCCCCGTGTCGGAATACTCGGGTGGTATTTAGACCACAAGCTATCTATGGCAGTAATAACAATTGTTGGTTAACATATATCTTCTATATCTTCTCCTCTAACTAAAGAAAACACGTATATACAGCAGTTGTTCCTCTCTCCTGACGCCATTCCTAAACAGGCAACTCATTACTCATCAACATGATTAGTCATCATTTCTAAGATAATACCTGAAAGGTCATTAAGTCATTAGGTGATTCGACACCCTGAGAAGAGAGACTGGTATTCCACCAGCACACATTCTGCTCGAGGAACGCAGGCTCAAGTCTGCTGCGCGAATCCTAAGACTAGACGAGTACCATCCGCTTCGACTTCGGGCCACGGAAAGCACAGACAGCGCTCGCCACCGACTCGGCCTAAAGACATGCAACAAAACCAGACTTGGTCTGGATAGAGTTCATGATTCGAGAGTCCAGAGGATGTTCCGACTTCTGCCAGAGGCCGAACTTCCTCCACTGCTCCGACCTCTGGTACCCCCCCAGCCGATTCCTTGTTGGACAAGCAAGAAAGAGGCTGCCAAGTTAATAATAGAGTGGCTAACTACACTCCCACCCGACTGTCTCTGCATTTACAGTGAAGTTTCTGGGGCGTCCACCGACAGAGTGTCATGGGCCTTTGTGACGTTTATCAGTGGCACAGGTACGACAATCGAGCAAAGCGGCTCAGGCAAAATTACCAATGCGGAGGTCTACGACGCAGAGGTTCATGGAGCTTTAGCCGCTATAGAAGCATTTACTGCCAGTAATTGAGATCGAGGACGCAGCGCCATCTACATCCTGCTCGATAAATCTGCGGCTGTTCAGGCTTTACTGACGGGAACAACAGGCTCATCATCCTGGCGTATCCAAAAGTTCGTGAAACTGGCCGCGAGTTCAGCCGCGCCTGTAAAAATAGGATGGATCCCGGGCCACGAAGGGCTGGCAGGAAATAAAATCGCTGATGAACTCGCTCGAAGAGAGCTTAACTCGGCTGACAACTCTAGGACGACACATGGTGTGATGACCCTTGCCTCATTTGGACGGAAAGCCTGTGAACTAGCCAGGCAGATATTGACGGACTGGTGGCACTCGAATCGCCCTAAACTTTACGCCGACCTCGAACTCGAGATGCGCCGCAAGAAACCACCAGAGCTAGCGCTACCGAGAGCGGTCTACGCCCGCTTAATCGCCGCTCGGACTGGACATGGGGACTTCGCGTCATATCATCGCCGCTTCAACCACACTGACGCCACAATTTATTGCGAGTGCGTGAGGGAAAAATCAATTGGTCACCTTGTCCAGTGTCAAAAAGCACTGGCAACATGGCGGCTGAAAAGCGGAAAGCGTAGGGCGCCAGCTCTGGAAATAATTCTTGGATCAAGGGGCTGGCAGCTGTTCAGGGACTACGTCCAGGAGAGCGAAATATACACGGAGGCTAGTCGGGGGATGGCAGGGATACCTGTGACTCGGAGGTCATAGATCGAAAGCCTAGGTGACTGAGGCGGAACGATGGAAGAGAGGTTGTTTAAGCTTTTCTTTTGTAATACGGGATATCGTGTGGAAGTTCTCGTTTGTTTTCATTCTGGGCTGCTGGAATCGTTATGATTCAACACATAGATGCGTTTTGGCATGGTCCCAGTCATTTGGGTGGGACGAGGCATTTGTACTTTACCGTAGTTAACGTGATCCGGCCTGACCTCACTCGTGCTTAAGCTCTAGTAGTAGTGCAACGGTAGTTACTTTACCTAGCACGTTAATGAACAAAAACAAAACAGCCCTTGATTCTTAACACCACTATCAATTCATCCTCTATTCTAGCAACCAATGTCTCTCGAAAAGTCTGCTTCAGAAACTAAAGTTCGCAAGCATCTAACTCGCGATCAATGTATTGAAATAAGAACATAAGGCTTGGCTTGAAATTACAAAATATAACCGACAAACTTGGCTTCATAATAAGGCAAGTGCAATTTGCATGTGCTCGAGAGACTGAGAATCCAACACCTCGCAAAGGGCGCTCACCAAAATTAAGCGCGGAACAAGTTGATGAGCTTGAGGCTTTTGTCAGGGAATCTCCTGAAAATCGACAGATGTGCTATTTGGAACGATCGATGGGACCCTTCAGCCACTGGGGATGCAGTGAAGGTTTAAATTCTAATGCTTTCAAAAAAAGAGGTTACAGCAGATAAATTGCTCGGAAGAAGCCTCCGTTAAGTGCGGTTAACATTCACGAAAGATATGTAGCGGTGATAAAAACATATGGTACACATAGTATTAGAATGGAGCAGACTAATACAAAACATGTAGTACGCTTTCATTTTAATTGCGAGCCAAACTGAGGGCTTCGATATAGACTTTTGAATTACGGAGCAATTATATTTAGATAATCTCAATGTAATTTTTTACTTTTTTATTTTAAGTGAGGACCATTGTACAATTGCTTTAGAGATGAAAACCATCGTCATGGATTTTGACCCACGGAATATCATTAGTTAGTACCCTTACTCGCATAACTATTGGACGAACTAGCCATAGGCCTAAATGAAGATCAAACCAATCAAATCTATAGTTACAGGGATCTTACCCCAGTCATTTTTACCTAATTACTTTTTCTACCCATAAAAGGGTGTAAGTGTTATCGTGTGGGTCTGGAAGATTCGGATCATAATATTCCCGTGCAAGGTTCGGAGTAACTGTCGCACATACAAATCCAGTACAATATTTCCCATCCTGACATATGGTGGCTTTAGAGACAGAGAATATATACCACAAAGATCACGACAGATCTTTAGTTACGGATGTACATATTTAACAAGGTCCTAGTGATATTGGTCTTAAAGACGTGCAATAGTGAGGAGTTCACATGTTCAACGCCAGGCTTGCCATTCACACGCTAGCTAAGGTTCACACCTTAGGTACATATGTTGGATGAGTGAGTTGATCCAATGTTTTAGGGGAGAGACAGATAAATGCTTTTACTTTCTCTTCAATCAATACAATCGATCTGTAAGTCCGAAGTCAATCCTAATCTCGCAGCAGGTTATTTTCTGTAGCTCTTTTGGATCGCTAACACCGTCACTAGTTAGGTTGTCCATACTCTGATGCGTCTCTAAGCTTCTAGAATGTACAAAAACACAGGAGCTGGCCTACTTGAACTGTGTTCGGTTATCATACCACATGACTCACAGTTGTGCTTGTAACGATAAAACTCGTAGTACCAAGTATAACTTTGAGAATAAAAATAAAACTTGACCAGGAGACATCGTTTGTGTATTAATTCAAGGATATCGACCGACTGTACCTGTTTTGAAACTTATAAACAAGGTCAGCTATCAAAGATATAAACTGATTTCAGTCCTGAACAGATGATCTTGCGCTCCAAAGGACTGGGTACTGTTTACCTAACACCTCATTTTGTAAAAGTAATGATTGAAAGAAGACCATGATAGCTGATTTGTTAGATTGGGTGGATAAAATTTTTCCAGGTGATTCGGCATAGGATACCGTTGAGCGAATTGTTTCGTCATAATCAAAATCTGAGTTATAAGTCTTTTTGGATAAGAATTTTGATCATTGCTAGGGCAAGACCAAGAAGTTATTACTCATCGCATGGGGTTTAGGCGAAAGACTTTTTATAGCGCAGCGATTTGTGAAGAAGAGAGTATAGTGTTTGGCTTCTTCTGGTATCCAGTTTTGTTCCTAGTGCCAAAACAGAAAATAGATATACCTCACCACAATGAAATTAGAGCAAATATTTCTTATCCTAAGCCTGCCTTGGTAGTCTTGACGACATGGGATACTGGCTGCAGTATACCTTTGTTGTCAAGAGCACCGAGAGCTGTTCCTAAGCTCCAGCCCATTTTTTCGAGCATCGCTCGGCCCTTGTTTTCAGGAGGGATTTCTGGTGCAGAACCACCAACGACATCCCCATCTCGGTAGCCACCATCTTTTTTGAGACTTTTTGTATTTTTTTGGGAATATGATTTCCTGCTGGCATCTGTTGGGTGGAAGGATTGTTTAGTAGATCTAGACTCGAAGACCGAAAAGACTTTTTCAGAAAAAGCTAATGTGCGAGTCGTGCGATAAATTACAGGAAACCTTTTCTTTCCAGATCCCATAGATCTTGATTTCAGGTTAAAGGTGCTTGCAATATCGTGCACAATTTTACGACCAGTTTTGTCCATGTAAGGGAGCGCCAAACTAGATTGATTGTTAGAAGATGCTTCATCCATTATCATTTCTACTTACAATTCGCTTTTGCTGGCCAAAAAGGTTCTGAGTTCTTCTTTTAATGCGCTGAGATTCAATCCGCCTTTGTATTTTTGCCTCAAGTCTGGTTTCTCATTCTTACATCCGATTAGTCCCTGCGCTCGAAGCTTCTCGCGTTCGGTTTTTTTTTCTGCCTTTCTTCTACGATCATTTTGCCACAATGTCTCCAGATATTCTTCTTCCTCCGAGTCACAGTTAATGAACTTGGGCTGTTTCTTTTTTCCTCTTGCTTTCTTCGGATTCTTGGGATTAAATTTACCATTGGAGTCTTTCAATTGATCAATACGCTTACAAGGAGCTTTTTGGTGAATTTCTTTGACGGGAGACGCGATAATACCCTCAGTGTGTCGAATTGGATCTCTTACATGACGTTTTATTGTATTTTGGACTTTTTTTTGTTTCAGTTTTTGGGAAGACGTGCAAGCTGACCTTTTGCCATCGCTGAGGGTTATGCCCTTGGGGGAAATATATCCTTTTTTGTTTAGGTTTTCGTCTTTTTTATCGCAAACTGCAGTATAACAGTTGAGTGTATCGTTCTCGGGACTATCAAGAAGTGTCATTGCCATGCCCATTTGCTCTTCAAAATCTCTTAGTATTTCTATAGCATTAGTACTGGTGAGAGAAATCGCAGGAACCCAACTGGCGTCACTGCGAGGCTGATTTTGAAAAGTTACAAGGTATTGCATGCCGGAATTTCTCTCGCGTTGAGCCAATATTTCTTGTATTTCTTCATGTAATGTTTCTAGATGGTCAGTTTCATCCGAATCACTTTCTCCCAAGAAATCAGACTCTGTTTCTACTTCAGATACATCGCTATTTTCGTTAGAAATATTGTTCGAAAGAAAAATATTGTTATCGTAGAATCCGGCTCCGAGCTCCCGACTTGCGAAGGAGGCAAGAGGTTGAGGGTCTTCAAGATTAATATTTGCAATGTAATCTTCCATGAGAGCATTACCTCTACTTTCGTTGTCATTTTCTTTTTCGTTTTCATGAATGCTGTGTGGTTTGCCCTGGCTTGGTTTGAATTCTAAGTTAAATTCTGAAACTTTTGCATCAGGTTTTGAAAATATTTCTGCACGAGTAGATTCATAAATTGATGGAGTTATTATCTTTACGTCATCATCAATTATCTGACATGAATTTTGATTGTTCACTGTTGTTTTATCCACAGAATTTATCCTCATCTCGGATGTGAGGTTTTTAGCGTGACTACGGCCTTTGTAGAGAATAATCTCCTCGCTAGAATCAGAGGGAGTTGGAGAGCTGGTATTCAATCTAGGTGGGGGAAGGCCTGTATATGGTTGTGGACCGCCTTCGAGATCTACTACAAAGCCATCGTTTATTTTCGATACGTGTGAATCTGGTTGTCCAGCTGGTTCGTGAATGTTGTTGATAATTTCTACCCTCTTCTGTTTGAAACTTATATTCGAGTCTATAGTTGAATTCCCCTTTTTGTCATCCTCGAGCTCAAGTGATAGTGCCCTCTCTTTGCTTACAAAGTGCACTTTAGTATGTCGCAACTTTCTTCCGGGTTTTAAGCCTCCTCCCTTTGCTGTTCTATTATCTGCAGCGCATTGTAATATGGTACCTAGAAGGTAGGTCAGTACCAATCAAGTAGTATACATAGTCAGCATGCTTACTTTCGATACTTTCTGAGAGCAGCCCATGTCTAGTAAGATCAGGGTGTGCATTTCGAAGACCTTTACGTTTATTCGAAACTGCATTCCCCTTCCAACCTTTTTTCTTTGATGAAGCCATGTAGGGATAGATAGCGCAAAGCTTGCGTCAAGTTTAAGAGGAATTAAATACCATCTCCCGACGTTCAATTATAGATCAAGGCACTTAGTTAATATTGTCGTAGAAATTTTTTGCCTTTAGATCCAAATTCAAAGTAAGGACTGAGGTCTGGCTACGGATAAAACTTGTCTTAGGATCGGTCTAATTGCCCAAGGAAAAAGCTGTAGATGAAGGCGAGAACTATATTATTATTGTATGCGAGGATGAAAGACTTGAGTTCATCATGATAGACAAAGTATAAGCTGAAAGGTAAGATTGCTGAATAGATTGCACCAAAGAGATTACTGAATTCACTGTTAAAGCGCCCGCGTGATGATAATTGGCTAAATTCGAACTTGGGACGAAACCTACGAAGACTAGCACTGACATAATACCCTACGTCACGATATGGTGATCCACCAGCTTTGTTCAACGTGCCACATTGATCAAGAGGCGGATACACCCACATCATGAAGATAGATCAATTAACATCTTCCCACCCTCTCAATTACATTAGAATGTGTGTGTTTGTGGTTTACTGTGCTACTTGAATCTATCACTATTTGAATCTTGGGCTCTTTCTAACCCAGGCCACTCCTTGTACATTACCCCTATCCTCTTTTGTAGCTTGAAAGAACATTAATATATTGCCAGTGATAATTAACCATTCAGCTCAATATTTACCCGTATAATCCACTCATCTTTACCACGGAACCCCCTACGCAAAAAAATAAAAATGGTAACAATAGACGTTGCGCGCGCAGTAAAAAATTTCTAAAAACCTGCAGCCCCAGCCAGGCCAGGCCTAAATACCGGTGTCACATAAGGTGCGCTTATTCATCTATATCTCCCTTTGTAACATTAGAGGACAACTTGACCCAACCCACTTATGCCGTATCGGGTGCTGCTACGCTCCGGAAAGTTATCGGAAGGCTTTTAGTCCTTGATAAAGACCGGTTATAAATAGGGATGTGACCCAACCATCTGATCTGATCGTGGTTAGATTCACGTAATGGTGCTAGGGGGATGTGTCGAGAGATGAAGACGATACAGACCGCGAAAGCGATTAGGAATCATCGTCAAAATGGGGAAGGTATTAGATAAGCTAGGCATCGCAGACTATACAGTGAGAGCATGAGGTTCGAAGGTGACACTTGTAACAGTTGTTTAGTTTCATTACCTGAATTACCCCTTAATGATTGGCCAGCTCCATGATTGCTTCCGTTTGAGTTACGGTTTGACCGTTCTTTAAGATTAGGAGAAAGCTGAGCCTTTTGTTTGAAATTTTTACGATAAGACTGAAAGGGAAGGGATAGATTAAATGGCACTACTGGCTAGAAGGTCGAAGCAACATTATAGCGTGATGGCTCTTAGTATTACTTTGCTCGGTAGCAGGTACTAGGCCTAGGGGAAAGTTATCAGTCAGCAGATTCCCACCTGGTACATCCAAGTGCTTTTGTATACGGCTCGTCTGTAACGAAGTTTAGCTGCGACTGATTTTACGGCCCAAGAAAGAAATATTGTAATACAGCCAGCCTGTAACATGGGCCGAGGGAGTCAGAACACGCGGCGCGTGTAGTTTCATAATGCCCTGTATCGGGGCATGTTCTTGTGTCATAGAACACTTAGTACGTAATATATTTACGCTAAGACTAAGATTGGTACACTTTTATGTATATACATTGTTTAGTGAGCCACCTATCCTACTCTATCTGTAAATTACAATTATATAATTGTTTTGCCTTTAGTCAGAGACTTTCCTGAACCTTATGCTATCACAGTTCAGAAAGAGCAGCTCGCTGCGGTTCAAGTTGTAGCTGTTGAGTGCAGCTGACACTATAAACACAAGTTAACGATGGAAGATGCCGTGGTCCGCCTCCTGGTGGTGTTCTCTGGTATTGTTTGAGTAGCCTGGGCACCTACTCCACTTGGGAAAGAGACGCCTATGCCACATATCGCGCGGAGAAAAGTAAATGGATGATGGAGGCATGTCTGGATAACTGAGGGTTTTTGAGACGTTCCCCTGAGTGGGTATTTTCGGATGAGAGTTGACTTGGGGTGAAGACAAAGCCACCATTAATTCGCAGTGGTACTTGCAAATAAAATCCGAAGCATGAGTATGATAGTTGCAATTGAGTCATCTGTTGTGTACTTTTCTTAGATATTGTGTCATATCTAGATAGCTGCATACGCAATTGAAATCTGATGTCAGAAAAAAAGCTGTGGTTGAGGGTGGAGCGGAATTGTGGTGGTGTGCGTCTGTGTCTTACAATAGACTTGGGACTCAAAGCACGCCTGTAATTAGTATCACAGAATGCCTGGTAAGTCGTTAAGTCAGATGTAAGATGATTGTCCCCTACTCCAACCGAATACTCCTAATGATGCTAATTCTAATTAATATTACATAATAGCACATGACCAAGACACAGAGGCACGACAAATTATTTGAATTTGATTTCAATTAACCCGATCAGGCACGCTATGGGTCCATGCAGGTTACTATCTCCACTATTTACAAAGGAGGAAAGCAATTTGGTGAAAACCCCCTGATCCTGTCTGTTTAGATTCCTATAAATTTATTTGGTTTACCTTCAGGAAGTGCAGTGTACATTGCTCAGCCAGTGTGTGAGTTCCTGTTGCGATTGATGACATAACCACCCCTGCATCTGGTTATTGTGGATCATAGAGATGTAGAATCTAATGGTTAAAACAGAACAGACCAGAGTCAGATAGAATAGAACAGGATAGAACAGGATGGAACAGGATGGAATAGAATGTGATGACTCAGAGCTGAATGGAACTGAGCGACTGGGGATATGGAAAGCCATAGAATGTGGTATAAGTATATAAAAGTAGTGATTCTCTAAACTTGAATGAAAGCAAGCAAGTCTACTAATTCATTATAATCTACCTCTCTCTTCAAGTCTCAGTGAACGTGCGGTTATTTACCGGTAACTATTCCACCTCCCATAATTTTGCATTCATAACAGCTCCGTCCTCTCCCCTTCCAGGTCTATTTACTTTATCCGACATTGCTACCTCGACTTCTCCTGCAAGTCGAAACTGTTTTATCCACCCTTTGTTTAGTATCCACTGTGTGATTCTTGCCCTGTCTTCTGGGCTGTTCATCATTGCTTCAAATGACCTGTCTTTAGCTTGTCGGAGAAAGTCGCCTCTTCCATTTGCCCACTGCGGACACGCCAACACCATATGCTTGACGTTTTGCGACGGATATCAACATTGATAGCTTGGCTTTTCTACTCCGGGTACTTTTCTTTTGCTCAGGTAAGAATTGAGTCCGATATGCTCGCTCCTTAGCTGAATGGCGACACTGCTTTGGGCCCTGGTTAGGTTATGGTGGATTCTTAAGGGGGTATCTTTGAAGTTCACTTTGACGCTGCCTGTCTGTTTATCAGTAAATATATTTGCCGCTTTCCAATGTTCTGGATCGGCTGATGCTGGTCGGCTAGGGCGGTGTTTCCTGATCTGGCTTGTCCATGAATCCTTCCACTCCTGAAAGACCGCTATCTTCCCAGCTTCTTTCTGCCTTCTCTTATCCTTTTCCCTTCCGCAAGTTCTTGTCCATTCGGCGATATCTTTATTACTGGTCAATGCATGGGGAATTTCTCTCCCGTTTGCGGGCAGCTTTATCCTCTTACATGTCGATCGGATTGTCTCTTGGACTGGGAGTTTATCTGATAGTCCGGCGTGCTAGACCCTCCTTTGTTTCAGGTATATCTCTATGGGGAGGATGGACGATTCGTGCTCTAACACTCTGCTCCTAGTAGAATTGTAGGCACCTGCAATAAGCTTTAAGCATTTTCTTTGAATACTTCTGAGGGGTTTCACTATCCTTTCAGGTATCTTTCCTGTTGGCCCGAACGACAAATTATTATTATTATTATTAATTCATTTTATTGTCCTGTCTGAGTCTATGACTATGTAGGACATGCAGGTCCCCTCTGCCTAAAGGACAAGGATACCTACCTATACTAGTAGTATTTCCCCTCCTATGCCTCACATATAGGGTTGGATGGTGCAGTGGTACACCATCCGGGCCGTTCTCCCATGTAAATACTGGGTAGCTTGAACACCTACCCCATTCGAGACAGGAGAAAGCTGGTTCGAATCCAGTCAGACCCACACACCACTCTCTCTTGCGGTAATATTGTACTTATGGGATGATGAAACCACACTCGGATAGCCACAGGTTTTTCACGCTTTTCCCTGTGGTGGGTATGCACGGAAGAGGTTATACGCCGTTAGGGTTAACCTCGAGTGGTATCTGCAAATGACATCTGAGTGTGAGTTGTTGTTGTTGTTTTATTCAAGTCCTAAGCTAAAGCTCCAAATCCACTATGAGTACAGGACCGATGTTCACAGCCAGAACTACATCTAAGACATACCCAGCTTGATTCCACCGCATGAACCACCACAAAACCAGCAGTAAGTTAAAAATATGCGCCGACGCGAACTCCTTTTCCCAAAATTGACAAAAGAAAAAGATAAATTGCAAATAATTTAGAATGGGAAGCAATACTCCTCGCCTCGATTCCCATTTTGTCAGGTTTAGTTTCCTGACGAGTTATATTCGATCTCCACTGAGAGTAGGAGATGGATGCACAGGAGAATACCCAAAACAATTGGTATCCTGTGCAAATTGTTTGAAGCTCTCGAAGCACTTAGGCCCGAGTAGCTTATGTAAGAAGGCATTGTGTGACAATGACCCTCTGATTCGACGCGTGATATTTGCGTTGAGTCGACAATGTATGAAGTGGGTAGTGTGACGGCTGTTAAGCCTAAGGGTTCCTGTAGCCTACGCTGTCTAGCGCAGGCAATTATACGAAGGGAGGTTCCTGGGAAGATCTTGGATGACAGGGAACCTAGATGATTCACATTGAGCCTTGTTGAAACCTACTGAGGGTTCATGAGGGTTACAGAAGTATCAAGGATCTACAGGCGATTGTCGGAGAGTCTGAGTT